CTACACAGTATCTAGTTTTTCCCCCACCCCTAGTGACTCCACTTATCTGGACCATCATATTAATGTTTACATTTGAAGGTGATCAGTTCCCTTTAACCTTTACTCTTAGCTGCTTTGTGCTATACATGTAAGCACCGTAATGTGTCCCAAGAGTTACATGTTATTATTCTGAGACACTTTAAAGACACAATTACCAACAGATGGCTCCTGCCTGAGTTATTTTCTCCAAACCACATAAAAAAAAAAACAGAGCAAAGAAGAAAAAACAGGTTCTCTGCTTCACACATTTACTTTCATTGTTGTTTATGCAATCAGCAGCACAGAAGGAAGTCATCTTTTACCAATCAGTGGTCTGATTAAACCTTAAATCTGGGAACAATCAAGATTTTCTAAGGGGAATATCATGTTTTAGAGGCAACGTGATGATACTGAGTTTGGCTCTGTTTTCTATCACAGGGTTTGACTTAAATGAAAACAAAGGCACACGTTTGATGACACAGCTACCATGTTTTATACAGTAAGCATAGTGTGGCTACTGTGGCTGCCTCAAGCACGTTTTCATCAGCTGTTCTTCTCAGGCTTCAGGCTTTGTCACTGTCTTAATGTGATCACGGCCATGCCAGTGAAACAGATGCTCCTTCTTTAAACACAGATTCTGTATCGATGTCACGTTTTGTTGTACATGCATGAAAACACCACCAGATGGCAGTATGCACCGCTAAACAATATGCTGAGCTCAGTGAGCTGTGAAAGACAATGACTGGAGAGAGAAGACAACATAAAACTCGATTTAGACAGGTTACTACACATTTAACCCAACAAGATTTAGATTTAAAATCTGCTCAGGACACAAACACTATCACCAAAACATACAAAGCAACAGTTTGTGGGTTTTAGCTATGAGGCCATGTGTGATTGGTTCTTGTCATTCATGCTGTTCAGTTGTATTTTGGGAATCTATAGTTTTCAGTCACGTGACCAACTACTCGGGCAGGCAAAATATTGTTAGATCGTGCCAGCCAATAGTGGACAGTTGGTACTACTGCAGGACAAACGTTTCTTTGATTGCTCCAATTTTTTTCTTTTTTTTTGTATTTCAAGGCTACTTGGATCATCCAGTTGTCCCCAACCTTTTTTGCGCCACGGACATGGTTTAAATTCGACAATATTTCCACAGGCCGGCCTTTAAGGTGTCGCGGATAATACAACAAAATAAAACCAGTACAGGTACCAAAAAAACGAAGAGTTATTCATAACACACGAGACCCAGGGAAACCGAGTTAACGAAAAAAAGATTTAAAAAAAATAACGATAAAAACCATAAATTTCACACCCGAGCCTCAACTCTTGCAGCTCGGTACCAAATGACTCACAGACCGGTAACGGCCCGACTGTTTAAGAGTATTACCTGTTATGGTAAAGCACCGAGGTCCAAATAAAGCCAAGCGGGATACTTCTTCAATTCTGTGTAATTTTATTTATAAAATGCCAAATCACAGACACTTGTAAGGTAAATCTGTCTCACCTTTTCTCACCTCTCCATTGTAGGAATATATATGAATTTGAATGTACTTGACCTGGTTCTACGTATTTGTTCCCCTTATTGATGCCTGATTGATTTTACGTGTGGATGAAGTGGGCCTCCACAGCTTTTCAGCATTGACACACTGACCAAACAAACCTTTGGGTTTGAACACAGTATACTGTAGCAAAGAGGAACAGTTAGAAATCAAAAGACCAAAAACAAACTGTCAGAAAGAAGCTGGCACTGACAATAAATGATTGCATACAATTCCAGTGGATTGGGCAGATTTGCAGATGCTTCTCACCTGGAAGCATTTTTTGATTCCCAGCCCCAGTGTGTAGCCTGTTCACTAAGTACAGCTCTTTTTCTCTCAGAAAGTTTGTGCATTTTATTTGGCCCACTTATGTTTCCACAAAGATCCACTGAGACCGAAGTGGAAAAGACTAAATAAGTGACTGCAGGTCTAGGTTTCTAAGAACATTTTCTGGTTGGGAACTGTGAGCGCTTCTGTAGAAATAATGCTGGCAGCCATCTTCCTGCTGCCCCGACTCGAATCACCCCACTTTGGCAGCTACTCTTCTTTTTCCACTGTCCTCCTTTTCCCCACCCTGAGGACTTTGTAGCCATTAAAGGAAGAATACCGTCTAAAACTCAAAGCCAAAACAAGGATTGTTTTTCTAATAATTTTCAGCATTTGCATAATTGTTAGGTGTTTTTGACGTATCAGAAATATTCTAGAAGTAGAAAACAGGATGTTACATGCTGTCACTTCCTACAGAAACAAAAAAAATCAGCTTTTGGTCTCAGTTGTCAGCTTCATCTCCTTGTAGGGTCTTTAACTTACAATATAAAGCACTTTGAGGCGACTTTTGACACGATTTGAATCTTTTTAAATAATAATATAATTGATCTTTGTTACACAACAAGTCAAGGTGATAGGCAGGGATGAGCTTACCTAAAACAACAACAACATCAAAAAGA